GCTGAGCTGACCGGAGGTAAACTCGCTGGCACGGTCGGAGTGGAGATGCAACACCGAGAGGCTGTGGTGGAGGCGCGCAGCTACGACACACGGGATAAGAACGCCAGGCACGTCAACCTTCTGCTCTAGGGGAAACACCGTGGTGTAGCGCGTGTAGTCACCTTCAAGCACTAGAAAGTAGCGCTCTCGACGCGGCACAGGGACGGGGGCTGGGCCCCAAATGTCCAGGTGCAGGGTCTGGAGTGGCGCAATTTTAGGGGAGAGCGAGGAGGAGTGAGGAGCGCGGTGTAGCCGGCCCTCGACGCAAGGCGAGCACAGCGGCGCAAGCGAGGGAGGGAGGGCAGGGAGCAACGCAGGGAGAATGAAGACAAGACAGTGATGGGATTGTGACGCATACGCGGGAGTGCGGGGTGACCTAGGCACTTGTGCTACAGCACTGACGGGTGAATGAGCTACCGATACGAGCAAGCTGCAGCAACCAGGGTCGACGCAGGCACCTGGAAGGACGCCCTCACCGAGGGGGGAGGTAGTACAAGCGTAAACAGACCACACACATGATCTCGGGGGAATGTGGTCAGATGAGCACCAACGACGGCCTCGGTACAGACCGCATACCGCTCGTGTCTTGGGAACGTAGTAGTGACGCCGAGATTCTGAAGACAGCTAACAACAACTAGGTTCCTGGAGAATGAGGGGAAGTGCAGGCCTCTAAGAGAACTCGAGGGGACCGCCGGACAGGGAAGGGTGGTGGAGCTACGGGCAACTACCGGGCCTGAGGAGCGGCCAGCAAGCGCGAAACCGACAGGGGGCGGCAAGCGGTGTGGTCGCGGAAGAAGCAGGCAGACGCTCCAGATTCGAGCGTGAAGGAGAGCGAAACAGTAGCGTCCGTTGGCAGAGGGGCTAGCGTGGAGCCTAGGCTAAACAAGGCAGGGGATCCTACGCCTGACGTAGCAGGGGAACCTAGACTACACGCAGGGGACACACCTATGCTATGCAACACCGGGTAATAGGGTCCAGTCTCATTAGAGGTACACGGCATACAAAGCAGACCTAATCTGATCCATGTCCATCTCAAAGACAGGCACACGACGACGCACTATGCTGTACCTGTCGGGGGGGTCTGCCGTGGGGCCGAAGCGGAGACGGAACAGGTCGTCGAGGCGGCAGTAGCAGCGCACATCGGTGTGACCGGGGCAGTCACAGACGGTGCCGCGATGGGGGCCAAACAGAAGCCGGTACTGGCAGGTGACCACACTAGAGCCGCCACCTGACACCGAGCTGCGCCCCCCACTACCACCAGCACCGCCAGTCCACCACGGCGGCGGGGGTCCCCACGGCGACTGCTGCTGTTGCTGCTGAGGCTGTTGCTGCTGCTGCTGCTGAGGCTGTTGCTGCCGCTGCTGCTCTGGGGCACCAGCCCCGGTCCCCTCGTCTACACCACTGTCTCCTCCACCACCCCCGCCACCTTCGCCACCCCCGCCACCGCCGCCACCCCTCCCGCTGCCAAGCCCCCCCTGTGCCCGGCATTCCCTACCCTGACGAGATTGCGCTGAGGCCGCCGCAGCAGTCTCAGCAGTAGGGACCGTCTCAGCAAGAGCGGCCGAGACGTCAGAGTAAGTGCACTGGGAGGGAGCACAGCCCTGGAAGATAGGGACCGCGACAGTACTGCTCGACTGAGCGATAGTGCGCTGGCGGGTCTCAATCGCGGTCAGGGTAGTGACAAAGTCAGTGAGGGTGAGGTCAGCAGGGTGGAGGCAAAGGAAGGGGTCGCGAGCAGTGGCTAGGTATTTAGGGAAGGCGCGTGGCAAGGAAGTAGAGGGTAGCACCGAGGGGGGGAGGCAGTACAAGGAGCTGAGCCGCAGTGCTAGCAGTGCGGTAGCTAGCCTCTAGTGCGCGCAGATGAGTGGGGAGATCAGCGACAGTGGGAAAAGACGAAGAGCAAGAGGAGGAGGAGACGAGCGGCAGAGGCGGAGGAGGGAGTGGAATAGCGTGCAATAACAGCATCTAAGTATGCCTACGCAGTCTCTAGAGCCTGGTAGCAGAGGCGCTCAGACAGGGGGAGGGCGCGACTGATAGCAAGCTGCGCAACCGCGTCGCGCGACTCCCAGACAGAGCGCGCAAGCTCAGCCACTGCAAAGGCCTCACGCTTAGCAGGCGTGGGGGCGGCAGAGAGGGCAGCAAGCAGATCAGAGTAGGGAATCTTACCGTCGACATGAACGGTCAGAGACTGACCATCCTGGCACTGTCCCCTCAGCGAGTGGCGGAGGTCGGCGAGCCACGCCTCAGAGTCAATCGTCGGACCCTCCGCGTCCAGGCGGAGCACAACGTCCACCATCGCCACGGCTACAGCAGCTAACCGCCGCTAGGGGAGGAGTAGGAGAGGGCAGTGGAGAGCAGCGGTGGAGACGGCCGGCGGGAGCGCCAGCACAGAAGGGGGAACCAGGGCCGGCAAGTCGAGGCGGCACAGCAGCACGGCGGCTCGGCGACTCGGCAACTCGGCGATGCGGCGGCTCGGCTAATCGGCGGCTCGGTGGCATGGCGGCTCGGCTACTCGGCGGCTCGGCGGCTCGGCGGCTCGACGACGCGGCGCGGCGCGGCTCGGCGGCGCAACGGCTCGGCGGCGAGGCTCAGTGGCTCGGCGGCGTGGCGCAGCGGCTCGGCAGCTCGGCGCGGCGCGGTGGCTCGGCGACGCGGCGCTGTGTAGCGGGGCCGGCGCGGCGTGACGGAGCCGGCGTTGCGTGACGGGGCTGGCGCGGCATGACGGGGCCGGCGCGGCGTAACGGGGCCGGCGCGGTCTACTGTAGCGGGGCCGGCGCGGCGGGACGGGGCCGGGGCGGCGTGACAAGGTTGGCGCGGTCTTGCGGGGCCGACGCGGCGTGACGAGGCCGCCGTGGCGTGACGGGGCCGGCGCGGCGGGATGGGGCCAGCGCGGCGTGACGGGGCGAGCGCAGCGTGACGGGGCACGGACTAGGGCGCGGTTTAAGGATAGGGCTAGGGCTAGGGCTAGGGGCGGAAGCGTAGGCGGGGACTCCCGGAGCGCAGGATTCCCCTTTCCCGCCCCTGCTATGTCGAATCTCCCCACCACCCCCAGCTCGATTCCCCCCCCCCCTCCCCTGCAATCTCGGTTTCCCCCCCCCTGAAATCTCTCGATTCTTCCCCAACCTCGGCCCGCCCGTGTCCTGATTTCGCCCAGCACGAGCAAATTCGTGTTTTTCTCGCCATCCGTTTCCCTCGAACACGCCCCATCCGCCTAATGACCCTCGTGCATTAAAAAAATCAACTCGGAAATTTTTGTTTCCCCCTTTCGCACGTGACTTAAAGCGAGAGACTATAATAGTGACCCCCCTTTCTAGTTGGGCCCAACTAGAAACGACCCAACAGTGAATATGTTTTTGGAGGGGCAGGCAGCAGCCCCCGTTTTTTACCAAGCCGTAGGCCACGACATCGAATTGCGCTTGCGACATTTCGCACTGGCGACAAATTTTACCACCATAGATTTGCGTAGTTAGCATTTCGACCAATCGGGGACCAGAATCAGTTTTGCTGGTGTAGTGAACCCGGGTCCAACTTGAAATTCAAGTTGGGCCCACTTGGTGCAGCTTACAGGCAGTGGGGGCTGGGCGACAGGTGGCGCGCAGCTTGCGACTTTGCCCGAGCCATTTTCCCCACCGTACGACGTGTTTTCCCCGCCAACCAATCAGGTAACTGCATCTTCTCGCCCAGTTTCCCCTGCTTGCATTTCTCAACTGTGTACCCTCTGTCAGAAACTAGCTTAGCTAGGAAGCCATAGAATGGCACAAGGTTTAGCTAGGAGCTAGGAGGAGCCATGAGAATGGCGAGAGGTTTTAGGTGCTAGGAAAGTTGAGGAGAGAAAAGATGTTGGATTAGAAGAGAGGGGAGTACAAGGAGGGGTTTGTACCCCCTACAGAAAGGTTCAGTAACAACCTACCAAGCCTATATAAATTATAACTTATATAATTTTAACACACCCCCTAGGCTTGGTAGTCACACACCCACACACACCCACACCCCCTAACCTAGCACCCCAATTCCAGCCACAGTGACAGCGACTCTAGGTCGGTCGACCCCACGGCGCGTGAGGCGGCGACGTCGACCGCAGGGGCTGCGGCGGCGACGGCGGCAGCGGCGGCAGTGTCGACAGCGGCGGCGGCGGCGGCGTGCGGCTGCGTGGCCCCGACGCAAGCGGCGACAGCGGCGGCGGCGGCGGCTTCGACAACAGCGGCAGCGGCGGCGGCACCCGCACCTCTCGGTGACGTGGCCTGGCCCCGCGACTGTGGGACGGCCGGCGGGAGTCAGCCGTCGTCTGCGGAATGGAAGAGGGCGCAGGGGAAGGAGGGGGGTGGGGGGGGGGGGGCGGCGCCACAGGCTGACATGCGGGCGGCCGGTCTAGCGGCGCCACAAGCGTCACGCGGCCGGCTGCAGCCCGACGACGCCGTCATGGAGCGGCGTCGATGCCGCAGCGGGGCGTCGACGCTGCGACGGCAGCACGACGTCGCTGGTACGCCGACTGCGCGCTGTCGCGTAGACGCCGCGGCAGCGTGACGGCGCCGTCACGTCGCGACAGCAACTTGACGCGACGGCGGAGCTGCGGCACGACGGCGCGGCCACAGCAGCTGGACGCGGGCGCCATGGACGTCGACAGCGGCGCCGCGGCACGACGACGCGGCCACAGCAGCTTGACGCGGCCGCCATGGCAGCGCGAGATAGAGAGAGAAACGAGCACGCAGCGGAAACGCGAGGAGCAGGCCCACACGGAACGAACTGCTCTGATACCATGTCAGAAACTAGCTTAGCTAGGAAGCCATAGAATGGCACAAGGTTTAGCTAGGAGCTAGGAGGAGCCATGAGAATGGCGAGAGGTTTTAGGTGCTAGGAAAGTTGAGGAGAGAAAAGATGTTGGATTAGAAGAGAGGGGAGTACAAGGAGGGGTTTGTACCCCCTACAGAAAGGTTCAGTAACAACCTACCAAGCCTATATAAATTATAACTTATATAATTTTAACACCCTCTGCCCCATCGCAGTTTTGTCCCTTAGTCGCAAAAACGGACGTCGGGGCCTCTTCAAGTTGGACCTGCCTTCACTATTTTGACCACTCGCTGTAACCGCAGCTAAACTGGAGTGTGACGATCATAAAATTAACAAGGCTTCATCTGAATTTTCAAAAATCGGTAATCATTTCATCTGGGAAACCAGGAAAATAAAATCCACACATCTGATGATCAGACGGGGCCGAAGGGGCCCGTCTGATCATCAGAAAGTGGAAAAAGCCTAGGGAGGACCCTGCAACTAGTTGGGCCCTTACACCTACACCAAGGGCAAAAGGTCCCACACCTTATAGGAGGGAAGGGGCGTTTCAAACTCGAGGCTCGAACAAACGAATGAGTGGCAGGTGGTGTAGATGTGCTGACCCCTTGCAATCCTCCAGGCAGCACACCCCTATGGCAAGGGCTCCTGCACATTGGCGAGGCGGTTGAGGTGCAGGTACACGTCCGTGCCGTACCCCTCCATGGACACCACCTGCAAGTCGCCGCCGAAGTAGCGCGCATACAGCCGACTGATAGGTAGACCGTACCCGTATCCAGCCCTGCTCGGGGTAAGCACAACGCGTGCAAGCACATGGGTACAAGTAGACAAATTAACCATAGGCTGATGGTGCGTGGTAGGGTTGATGGCGAAGTGGAGGACAGAAGGTGAAGGGTGGAGGTCGAATGAGAGGAAGAAAGATGGAGAGCTTAAACACGTGATACTTGAACATGATGCTTGAACACATGATGCTTGTATGATGGAGGGAGTCTAGACTAGAACATATGATACTTGAGGACATGATACTTGGGGACATGATACTTGAGGGCATAGTACTTGAGCACATGATAAATGAGGACATGATACTTGAGGATATGATACATGAGGACATGATACTTGAGGACATGATACTTGAGGACATGATACATGAGGACATGATACTTGAGGACATGATCCTTGAGGACATGATCCTTGAGGACATGATCCTTGAGGACATGATACTTGAGAACATGATACTTGAGGACATGATACTTGAGGACGTGACGGACTTGAGCACATGGGGTGGGGGGCAACACGACTGTGTGGGCAGATGTCCACACCTGGGCACGAAGCCAAACATGTGGCATGAGTCGCATGTTGGCGCATACATGATATGCCAGGGCACACATGACATGTCAGAGCACACATAACATGTCAGAGCACACATGACATGCCAAAGCACACATGACATGTGAGACACACACGCCACAGCGCCATGAGCACGCACATGATGGAGGGGGTGTCCTGCAGTGCGCCGCCAGCAGCGGGCGAGCGCGCCGTGGTGTAGAGGTACGTCCAGATGCGAGGCAGCCCGCTGCGCGGAATGCCGCCCCCCTCGTCCGATATCTGATGGGTGAAAACCGAGGGGTCCGGGGGTGAGGGATATTGCTGCAGAGAAGCGCCGACTCATTCCATGAAGCTCATGGGGCATGGGGAGGGCAAGGAGGCATGGTGAAGGCAGACCAGCACAAGGGTGCAGACGCTCCAGTGGCACCTCTGCATGCATTAGCGCCGTGCTCTCTCCTCGCCCTGTCACTGTCTTGCAACCTACATTGTCACTCCTCCCTCCTCCACACCACCCATCCTTATCATCACATCTTGACTGCCCCCCCTCTATAGTCACAGCCTTATACCTCGCACATTGATAGCCACGTCCTCTAATGCCGTCTGCCACCACAAGGCGAATGGGTGGTGGGTCGGTGTCGGCATCGGCAAACCCCTGCTTTACCGGGCTAAAAAAACGGTTGTGTCCATAGAAATCCACCTCCATGCACCACCCACCTTTAAGGCGCGTATGAAGTACATCACCCGTATATTCACGTCAAATGCACCACCACCCACCTTGATAGTCACGTCCTCGATGCCGTCTGCCACCACGAGTCGAATGGGCGGAGAGTCGGTGTCAGCATCGGCGAACCTCTCCTGCACGGCGCGCAGTGAGTTCTTGCAGAGCTCGAACACCATCTGGTGGAGATGCGTCGGCACGTACCTGCGGTGCGGATGGATGGGAACGGGTGCATGTGGAGGGGAACGGCCCACATCAGAGGGCGCACAGAGAGCTCTTGCCGAGCTCAAACACCATCTGGTGCACGAGCGTTGGCATGTAGCTGCAGTACGGTGGAAGGGGGTTCAGATGGGTGAGATGGGAGAACATGAGATGGGAGGAAATGAAGAATTGTCTCTCCTACATGGCCCGCAGGGAGTTGTTGCACAGCTCAAACGCCATCTGGAGCAGGTGCGTTGGCAGCGGTACAGACGGGTGCGATGGTGTGGGAGGACACGAGGCAGATATAGCATGGAGTGGTGTAGTCAAGGAGGAATGAAGCAAAGCAGCATGTGAGAGCGAGCAGGTTGCCGAGCAACGAGAGCAGGCGCCTGCTGAGAGCTGTGGCCGTGTGTGAGCATGAGCGAGAGAGCATGTGTGTGCAAGTGTATGCGTGCGTGTCGGGGGGAGGGGGGCATTGTGTGTGTCTGAGAGTGGCTGCTTTTGTGTGTGTGCATGTGTGTGAAAGTGTGTGTGAGCACGCAGGGAGCAGCACTGACGCGAATGTGAAGTCAGGGTCGCCGTAGATCTCCACTCCTGGCGCGGAGCCATACGTGCGCATGCACGCCGACCGTGCATCGTCCACGGCATTGCGCGCCACGTCCACTGGCGACACCTTGGTACAGATGAGCCTGCGAGGGCGCGAGGAATGAACAGGAGAGAGGGGAGGGCATGAGGCCGGCACCTTGGTCTAATGGGACTGGGGATGAAGGCGAGGAGGGAAGGGGGGGGGGATAGAGAGACGGGAGAAGAGCAGAGCAGACAATGCTTCCTCCAATGCGTTTCGTATGACGTACGCCAGCGACAATGTAGAGGAGGTGAGAGTGAGAGTGAGGGAAGCGGGGCGCGCACCCATTGAAGTGCGGTGGTGGGTTGGGGTCGTGCAGAGCGACGTGCTGGCCGATGAGCATGCGGATGCCGATGCGCGACATGTAGAAGCGGTCCTGGGGGCACGGGGGAAGGGGCGCAGGGGGCAAAGGGCACAGCAAGGCAGCAAGCAGGGCAGGACAGCGAGCACACAATTGGCATGTGCAAACGGCCCTTGTGCCATGCTTCGCCATGCGCGGAAGAGTTCTGGGACAGGGAGGAGGAGGGGGCAGCGGGAAGGAGGGGAAGGGGGAAGGAGGAAGAGGGAAATGAGAGGGGAGGGGAGAGAGAGGGTGGTGGGGTGGGTGGGTGAGAGGATCCTTTTTGAATCGACTCGAGTGACATGTGGAATCGCTCCTCCAGACATGAACCCTTCCCCATGCACCCGTCCCCACACGCCCTTGCCCATATTGCGACAGCTGAAAGATTCAAAGCGATGCGTGTAAAGAGTGAGATGTAGCTATTGAAAGTGGTGCTCAGTAGCACTGGCACCCATACCAGGAATTGGTGGATCTCCAGGAGGTCGTCCAGCCGCCCCTTGCGCCCCAGGTCCTGCTTCAACTCGTTGATGCCCATCGCCATCTGCCATGCCATGCCACATGTTGAGCCATGCCATGCGATGCCATGCCATGCCATGCCATGCGATGCCATGCCATGCCATACCGTGCCATACATGGCATGCCATGCCATGCCATCCCATCCCACGCCATGCCATGCCATGCCATGTCATCCCATCCCATCCCGTGCATGCCATGCTGTGCCGTGCCATGCCACACAGCGAGCAGAGACACAAAGCAGAGCAGCACATATAGCCTCTTGACAAATGTCGCACATCATCACTGCACACATGTCATGCCCGCCTGTGTGAGAACCGCAGCTTCCTATGCCTTGCCCTGGGAACGACCTTACCGCTACAGCTCATCTCAGAAACAAACTCACAGCGGGAATGACGTTGTTGTGCCTCACAGTAGGAACGACCTTACCGCTACAGCCCATGTTTGAAAGAGCTTACAGTGGGGATGACGTTGTTGTGGCGCAGCTTGACCTGCGCCAGCAGGTGCGTGAAGCGCAGTTCGTCCTCGCGGCTCTCGATGGCGGGGAAGCCGCGGATGTCCTTGAACGAGTCCACGTACCAGTCGCGCACCTGCGCCGCGGATGCACGCACGCACAGTAGGCAAGCACAGCAGGCACGCATCGCAGGCACGCACAAACACATGGAAATATATTTTGAGGCACCTCCACGCAGAGCAGTATGTTAGTACACACACGGGGGCGCTCAGGTAGTCGCGCGCTGGGCCAGTCGAAAGGGCAGCTCGTGCCGCACTGCACGAAGGGCGCGGACGACGGCAGACTGTGGTCCGTGGGCCCCAAGAGGACGTGCCGTAAGAGCAGAGGTCGCGGGGAAGATGGCGAAGACCCTCATTTTGAGGTCGAAGAAGGGGGGACGGGAAGTGGCGTCGCCCTGAGCACGCGACGCACCTTGAGCGCGACACACCTTGAGCGCGCGACACACCTTGAGCGCGACACACCTTGAGCGCGCGACACACCTTGAGCGCGACACACCTTGAGCGCGACGCACCTTGAGCGCGCGACGCACCTTGAGCGCGACGCACCTTGAGCGCGACGAACCTTGAGCACGGGAAGGCACGCACCTTAAGCACGGGCGACTTGGTGGAGAGGCCGAAGGGGAGGTTCTCGAGCTCCGTGACGCGGTGCGCCAGGCGGATGGGCAGCTCGTGCTGCAGGAAGTGCGCGGACGACAGCAGGTTGCGCTCTGTGGGGAAGGCGCCGTGCGCCATCATGTTCTTGAGGCTCACGCCCGTCTGCTTCTTGAACGAGCACCGGTAGATCTGTGCACGCGGATGGAAGGTGGCGGAGGGGAAAGCATGGATTGGGGGTTCAAAGGAGGGCGAAGAATGCAGAGAGGAGGGGAGAGGCGAGGAGTTGTGGTGCGGAGGATGTGCTACAAGGCGATGTGCTACAAAGCGATGTGCTACAAGGCGATGAAGGAACAGAGAAAAAGAAAAGAAAGGATGGGAAAACGCTCTGCAATTTGGTAGAGAGAGACCGGCTTACGTCAGCGACGACATTGGACGGCAGCACCTCCGCCAGCTTTTGCGCCGACGATCGCGCCGTCCGCAGCGCCATCGCCACGCTGGCAACGTGTGTGACTCTAACGAGGGGAGTACTATCTGGAAGTGTGCACGACAATGTACGCCGTGCTGGTGGTCATTTCCTGCGCGCGGGAACGCTGCGGGGGCAGAGCGGAACGTGTGGCTGCTCATATTAAAGCCAGGGACCCAAGTTTACCGAGTGTAGAACACTCGGTTGGGAAGGCCGAAGAGGATTGGGTGGCGAGTAGCACGCGTTGCAGAGGGGGTGGGCGAGGGGAACGAAACAACGGCAATCGCGAATTGGATCGCCGCAATCACAGCGACGCATTTTGGGATCGCACAGTGCGAAACACTGTGTGCCGAGTCACTGAGAGAAAAACATACACACTAGACACACGTACACAAAAACAGAGGCAGCGTACATACGTGCCTATAGCAAAGCAGCCTCTCTGGACGCGTACATGGAGTCCAACGATCCGGAAAAGACAGAAACGGGCATCGCGTGCAAAAACGCAGACAAAGGTAAGAGCCACTATGGGGTGCAGTGCAAGTTCAAGAGCCAAATAACGCAGTTATTTTGCAGCTAGCAAACGGTCACTGACACCGAAGGAGGCTGGATGTCGGCCTACAGCACGTAAGAAACGACAAACGGTCCATGCCTTTGCCAACCACGAGAGGGAGCCGAGGGTACCGTGGAACACGGAGAACATTCGGGCTGGCCCACCACCGCACCAATCACAGCCCCATGATAGGAGGGTCCTCCTACCTGCTAGCACATGCTGGCGAAATCACCGCACGGCTGACAAGGCGTCACAGGTCAAGGAATGTTGAGACAAGGGACCGCGTCCCAATCGGCCAGTTCGCCGTGCACTAGTCTACGTTCCCTGCCCGCTGCAGGACCGATGATAGAAGGGGAACAGGGCGCGGATAGAAGGCGCCCAGGGCACCGGCATGTGGTCAACAGGGCGCGGATAGAAGGCGCCCAGGGCACCGGCATGTGGTCAACAGGGCGCGGATAGAAGGCGCCCAGGGCACAGGCATGTGGTCAACAGGGCGCGTACAGGAGGGGAAGAGGGCGCGAATATAAGGGGAACAGGGCGCGGGAAAATGGGGAACAGGGCACCGAGAGAAGGGGAACAGGGCGCCGAGAGAAGGGGAACAGGGCGCCGAGAGAAGGAGAACAGGGCGCCGAGAGAAGGAGAACAGGGCGCCGAGAGAAGGGGAACAGGGCGCCGAGAGAAGGAGAACAGGGCGCGAATGATAGAAGGCGACCAGGGCCTCGACAAAAGGGGAACCGGGCGTGGACAGAAGGGGACCATGGCATGCATAGCAGGTGAACAGGGCGCGGATAGCAAGGGAACAGGGCGCGGATAGCAAGGGAACAGGGCGCGGAAAAATAGGGGAACAGATAGCGGGTAGCAGGGGAACAGGGCGCGAAGAGAAGGGTAGCAGGGCGCAGACAGAGGGGGAACAGGTCGCGGACAGAAGGAGAACAGGGCGCGGATCTCTTTGCTATCGAGGATTGCACTTCGCACAATTTGGGCATGAACGTGTACTTACTATGCTAGTCCCTTGGCTGACGCGGCAGCGTGTCGTTGTTCGTGTTGGTGGCGCGAGTCTTCCGTGGAAGACGGGTGGCCTGAGTGTTGCAACTGCCCTACTTAGGCACAAATCTTGGCTGCGTGTGCAGGGTTGGGTGTGCTGTCGCAGCGTGATTGTTTGCAACCCTTGGTTGGGCTCTGACCAATAGGATATGTGTGACAATCGCAACCCCCACCCTGGCGGGGAAAACCTGGTAACCTGTGACCAATTGAAAAACACTTGGTTGGGATTCTCTAAACTTGGGTCCCTGGCTTTAAGGTGCTAGCAGAACCTGACCCCCATCACAATTATCGCAACCTGACGACGAACTGAGTTGGTTCGGGGCTTCGGGATTGGAGGTTCGGTTTTGGTTGGTGACTCAAATAAGGGCGCGGGACATCCAATTCGTCATTTCGAAAATGGTCTGAATTTGGGGGTGGTTACTAGTTTCGCAAATTTCGTCAAGGCTGTTCGCATGTCGCCAAAATTCATCGCCCAAATTCATAACGGAGATGGAACATGCGTAACAAATTCATCCGTTCTAACGGCCACTCCACCACGTACGAACTGCAAGGTCTGTTGGCAGTCGGCGAATTCACGAAAACCTACCGCGAAATCAATTATCATAAAGCCAAAAATTGAAGGCGCGCCTCCAGATTTACATCTCGTGGGGGCATCACAGCAGACACAACCAACGTGTGCTGGAGTCAATCAACAGAACCCGGCCACGTACGTTGTCTGCAAGAGCACTACCGTCGTGCAGTCACGTGTATATGAAGCCCACGGTAAAATCCAGAAAGCATCACACAGGCTCGAATTTTGGCGACTATGGATCCATAGCATGACGGACTGCTCACTCCGCCCCCTGACGATAGCGACCCGCCGTCGTCACCGGAATACAATAACCCATCTACGGAACGCACTCACCCCATCGACACAGAGGGGTCCCGTGCGCCGCCCCTCACTGACCACCACCCCGCCGCCACCGCACCTCCTACGCATTCTGGTGCTACTGCCGACGCCAACACTGCTGTTGGCCCCGTCGACGACCCCAACTGGTGGGGTAACCGCCTGCCCTCCCCAAACGCCCCATACGAGAACACCGAGGACGCTGGTGTAGCTGATGACGCCGCCAACTTGGCGGGAGCCGAGATCGACGAAGAGCTAGGGGAAGACGGCGACGTGACCGCGACAGGGGCGTCCCACGGCACAGCCAAATGCAGCGACGCCCGAACGCAGGTCCGCTGGACCCGCGACGAGGAGTATCAGCTCGCGGTCATGCGATCTGAAACGGACGAAGCGCTTGAACGAATGACCGGCCAGCAAGGCCGAAGCTAGTACGGGGCACTCCACACGCAGCTCGTTCGTCGGCACGAGGGGTGGCGCCACGACGCCACCGCCATCAAGGCGAAGATATTTCGCATGAAAGATGTGTGGCGCCGGTGGCGAGACCGTGGGTTCAATCGTTCAGGCGCAAGGAGGCCGCGAGGGGTGCCTGCGTGGTACGACATTTTTTACGAGTTGTTCGGCGAGCGCCCCGCGGCCAACCCCGAAGTCCTTGCCGCAAGCGCACCCGTGCTGGACGGCTCAGCAGGATTTCCACGACTGGCCACCTCCTTCGGCCAGTCTCAAGACCACACGCCGCGTAAGTATCAATGTCGTGCAAGCATAATCCGACAACCAGCGTGAAACGTCAAATAGTGCGAACAACAAACGACTGAGCAAAATACAAAAACCACGCAGTAAACTAGTAGCCTACACCATACCCAATGTGACTTCCCCGTAACCTACCCCCTTGACCCCCTCCCCCCCCCCCCAAAAAACAACCCTCCCCTTGTCCCGCTGCAAACAACCCGCCACGACTACGTTCGGTCGTCGGAAGCAATGGCGCCTCCGCTGGCGGAACAGTGAACAATACTGCAGCACGTGGGGAGACGCCCCCTGCCGCCACGTATACGCCGCCTGGGACTTGCGGCGCCGTGACTCCCATGTCGCTCGACACCATCCCCGCAGCCAGCAATGGACGTGCGACCCCGAGGACGACCCCACCGACACGCCCATCACACGTCGACAGCCTGAGCGCGAGCGTGGGACTGCGCTCTCGTCGTCTCGTGTGGGGCACGAAGCTGACGACTGACGGGGGGGAAGGGAGTTCACGAGGCGGAAGGAGGGAGCGACGAGGCAATGAGGGGGAGCGCCGAGACAGTGAGGGGGAGCGACGTGGCATTGAGGGGGACCGACACGGCAGAGAAGGGGAGCATGCGGCACAGCAAAGTGATGGCAGCCCGTTCTCTGGAAAGCATGCGTTGTATGCCGTGACGGACCAAATCATGGACTGGCATGACAAGCGAGCTGATGCCCAGTGGGAGGAGTTTAAGGCACTCACCCGAGAATTGGGTCGTTCTCTTCGGGGTGGGCGAGCACGTAAGAGGCGTAGAGATACGACATCACCATCGTCCTCCGATTCGTCGGAGTGAACCCCGGCACCTTGGCTCCCGTGTGCACCAGCCGCGCCACAGGTCCTTCAAGCCACCACCGGTGGCGTGTGTTAGAAATAGATTGCAAATACCACTTTTGTATTTGTACTTTTATATCCCAGTTTAGGCTAGGAATGTTCTAGTGGGTTGGGGTGTACTCACAAAATCCCAACCTCACCCAATTGTGATCCCCCCAATCTCCAATTACCCAATTGGAGATTCCGGAGATCTCGATGAGGATTCCCTCCGATTCCCCCTTCATCCATTCTCTCTCACCTTGCCATGTACTTATAGAGCCTTGGGATCCTTACCTAATCAATCCTTTCAGCTCTATTTCCTACAGCGTGGCTCCTCCTCTTCGGACAGCCACACGCGCTCACCCAGCATCAGTTCGATGTTGTGAAGCACCACCACTACGCCGACCGTTTCAGGGACGCGGCGAGTGTGGCAATCCATCCTTTCGTCTAAAATAAGCCATTTCGTTTTTAGTCGGTCGTTGTTACAGGTCCAGGATTTTGCGGAAGCTTGAATGATACTAATCAAGAATTGAATCAAGAATTGAATGTCTTAATACAAGCAAAGAGGCAATGCCATTTTTACCTACGAGAACTCTAGAGAAGGGTAACTAGGATCTTCTAAGAGAGTTCTAGAAATTAGTGGAACCATCCGTAGGAACACCACATAGAAGCACGGTAGGGAATATAGAGATACAGTGACGGTGATGGAACACTCCACGAAATGGTAAACGTGTCACGCAAGGAAAGTCCGAAACACTCCGTAACACATATGATATATATGAAATGCATCAATGTGTAGGGAAGAGTATAGGGATTTCCACAAAAGGAAAAACACACAAAATATCACACAAATAATAGCATATAGCAAATGGTTGTGATCAAGGATTCGGCAAGCCTCATCCTCTCACATTCGTTTACTTGTCCGACGGTCATGCGTTGCCGAGATTGCTGCTTGTTCCATGTACCTAGGTCGTCCGGTAGAGTATGACTGGGCGCGCTTCTGTAGGGCACATACAGTAGGTGTACGGTCGGAGGCCGTAGGTGGCGTCGCTGACAAGACAGTAGTTGCCTATCGCACCTTGTGACTTATGAAATACCAGTGCGTCGTTGATGCTGCCAGGAAAACCAGCTAGGTAGTCCCACACTAGTCCGTTAGAGTCGCATATAAGTTGTAGTATTATTGAATAAACACCCTTACGGTTCTTGAAGTCTGCCTTGTGCCCGTGCCGTGACAGCGAATATACGTATCATCCATGACACCAACCATGCTAGGGATGCCTCCTTCGTGACGGAACTCCGCCACCATCCTCTCCAACTCGTTGGGGTCAGGCCACCTAACCCATTGCGGGCCGAGCTCGTCATGCACGAACTTCACGAAGTACCGCACTATCCGCCTAGCATGTGCCAAAGTCCATGCCGAGCTGGCGGTAGGTCGAGGCCTGACCGAGCCGCACGAGAGACATTGTGACGCATGACTCCACCGATTCTTGACAGGCCGCGTCACCGAGGTGTGCGCGGTAGGCTCCGCAGAGGTAGTCGAATACCTCACGGTCGACTCTAAGAGCGTCATAGAAGGCTGGTGGGCGTAGGTACACCACCAATTGCTCCCACCTTCGACGCTGGTTATCGCGGTTGTATCGCGTGAACTCGGCGTAGGCGTGGGCGTCAGTGCGAACAGCGAGTACAGGAAGGGTAGCAGTGAGGAGGGTGTGGAAGGGGCGTATGAAGAGGAGAGAGTACCCATGGTAGAGCAAGGTGATGAGGAGGAGGAACTCGCGTGGGCGCATGTTGGAAAATGAGCTCTTGGTTGCACAAGTGTTGGTTGTTGGGTGTGCTGTGCTTTGCTCTCTGTGCAGTCGTGGGACAACGTGCACGCCAATTGCGGCTGGAAACGATGGGATTTACTTCTCGAGCCGCGAGATGTTCGCGACGCTTTGCATGTTCTCTGGGTTTCGTGCAAATTCGAAGTAAGGAGTTTGAATTTCAAAACTTGGAACGTCACAGTTTGGCACCTACAGTATCAGCATGCATAGTTCGGTAGGTGGGTTTGAACCATCGTTTGAGTGGTTTGTATTGCCCAAAAATACGTACTGGTTCAGATTTTGGCGTAACTCAACCGATGTCCCGCGCCCTTACCGACCAATACGAGGTCGATTTTTGTTGGCCAACAGTTCTGTCAAATCAAATTCGAGCCGCGCACAGAAAACCCCAGCACTGCCAACCAATCAGCACGGTCAACTCAGGGACAACCAAAATTGAACTCAAACTGGTAGAGAAAATATTGCATTTTCGGTACAGCGCGTGGAGCAATAACCAAAGGCATGCATACTAAACAAATACTCATGTCACGTCGCTTTTGAGGGTATTAATTTACAATATCTAAATGGATTCCCTAATCATGTTTAATGAATTCAAAAAAATTAATACGCTATATTGACGTAAAACACATGACAATATACTCAGTTGATGAAAACAAAACAATACATTATTATGCAACTAGAGTTAAACAATAAAATATAAATTATATAAGATACAAAGCCATATGTGCTCATTATGCTGTTAAAAAGTTAAGGATTATTGTTATGAATTATAACTCAAAGTATAGCGCATAATTCTATAAGGG